GGGGGGGCGGTGGAGGGGCGGTTATTCACGCCCGCTGCGACCTCGTGGAGATCGCTCCGGTCCGCGTCACGGGGCCGCACGGGAATGATGGGCTCGAGACGCGACGAATATGGATGGGTGTTTGTCTTTTGTAAAGTTATCCAAGCCAACGAGTTCAGCGTAAAGGAGTTTTCTGACGAAATGTTTCCTCCTGTGCGTGCGCGCTGCCTTGGGGTCAACACACTTTAAATGTCCAAGGACAATTATCGCAACTTGCACCGGACTCCTATCTGCATAGGTGAGTTCAGATACAATTTTGTAACCAGCAACACACATTTGGTAACTCGCCTGTTTCAATATTTCATCTGAACTCAGTAATGCATACAGATGTCCGGGAACAATCATTATCCATTGACATTTATAGTGCAGGGAGGTGGGTGGCAGCCATGCATGTTGGTGAACGTGTACCCTCAAGCGCCCAGCTCAGCATGGCTGCTCATGTAGCCCTGTGGGGTGCACGTGCGTAAGCGCATAGAAGGGGTAGTAAACCAAATGAAGGTTTATAATTTAAGTTTTCGTATCTCTGTTATCGTTTCAGCAAGTAATATTTTTTGTTAAACTTTGACTCTTGTGTCGAGGTTCGTGCGACCGCTCTTCGAGCCAAACCCAGGAGGTATTTTTGTATTTTAAGTCCGGAAGGAGGAAATGTGGCGCGTATAACGAGGGGCGCCGCAGAACTTGGAAAACTTCCCCGCGCTCGGCTGCCACCCGTCTGCGGGGGCCAGACGAGTGGGTACAAGACCGCCAGGCCAGGACCGGTATGCTAGCGACCCTAGAACCCCGGCCTCATAGGATCGCGTGCCTGGTCGATGTTAACGAGAGCGGATTTATTGTATAAAATGCACGAGCGCGGTACCGGAGCCGAGCGATAAGAGGCGGAAGAGGTGTGGCCGCGACGGCGGGCGGCGATCTCCTTCAACTTTCTTCTGAAGTCTCTCCCCCTCCCTCTCAGATATGATGGAAATGTTTTGGCGAGACGGCTTTTCTTCTTGAGGCGCAGCATCGATCCGGCCTGCGTAATTATGTCTGGGCCTCTAACGAATGGGAGGGGGGAGAAGAAAGGGGGGGGG